TTACTGTAGCTTTTAAATTAACTTTATTTCAGTTTTAGTCCATTGTTAGTTTTTAATTATTTCCAGTTAATGCTTCAACTTAAATAGTTGCCAAGGCAGCTCTGCAATATGCAATTTTTTTCAGATTATTTCAATTTCATATTTTCAATTTAAATTTACTTTAAGTTTTTAGTAATTTTGCTTGTGTTATTATTTTATAAAATATTACTATTTAGGTTTCATTTATTATTATTTCAGTTTTTATTAATTTCTATGTTTATTTCTTCAAAATTTTCTTCTAATATTTATATTTTAATTCAGTGTTGTTAAATTATAAAACATGTTTCTCTAGTTTAAAGGGGTGGTTCATCATTTTGGACTTCGGGACTCATTTCCAAGTTAGCCTTAGTGTTATTTATGTTTTAAAAAATGTTCATTCAGTCGTTCCAGTTGCATAGTTTGCCGGTGCTAGGCTAGCACGAGTCAACGGAAACTGCTAGCCTGCCATTAAAAACCGTTTTACCCAATCCACACACCGAAAGTGAATAAATTATAATGCCAGCCGCACTATAAATGTCTGTTGAGAGTGTTAGTGTTATAATAACCCTGGTTCAATGCTAGGCTAATATTGTCTGCAAATCCCTGCAGTGAAAAATCTTGACAAAGCTCAAATATAAGGTTTAACATTTTATGTTCACCACCATGCATTTCATAGTTCTATTGTTATTTCATTATTTTGATGACTCTAAAATTTTGATAATAGTCATAATGACGAGTTGTGTGTCAATTTCTTTTCATAGAGCACTTGTTTTTAGCACAATCAGATGCGGATGCATAAGCACTAGATATCTGACAGACAATAAACTGTGTAAACAAATCACAGACTCATTAAGAGATCATATCGACAGCATACCCATAGTATTCAGACTTGGGATCAGCCGTGTTTATTTAATTCAGTTAGTGCATTAGTGTGACCGCCGGTCCAGAAGCAGTGTTTCGGTGAGTACGGCCCTTGGTTTCCCTCCTTCTATTCAGAGAGATTGTACTTAGGCCTCCTTGTCCTGCGAGTGCAGCATAACAACAGTGCAGCAGCATGGGGAGGTTACGATTGAAGTTTGATCCTGGGAACCCCATTGCACAATGCCATAGCTTCACAAAGCCGGCCCACAACTCCCTGCGTTCCCACTGTCTCTGCTCTCTGGAGGGTAGAGAAGAGAACGGATCGCATCACCTGCCCCAAATACAGCCCTCTCCCCTGGGAACCCCCACCCTGTCTCCGCGGTCTGAGATAGATGGCCGTAATGCAACAGAGAGGTAGACAGGTTAGAAAGGTCTACTTGGACAGCGGACGAAGAAAGTGATGTAATGTTGCCTGGGAGTTCGAGCAAACCTTTTGTTTGTGCTGCAGACCTTATTAATAAGAAAATCGTTTTCTGATTTTCACCTGGCAAACAATACAAAAATGTAAAACTGTACTTATTTTACATAATTCTTAAAATGAATATTATGTATAATATTGAATATAATACATGTTATTTTATTAAAGATATATACAATTAAATATATATATATATATATATATATATATATACAAAGTATTTATATATATAAACACTATAATACTGTGTTTGACCCCCTTTCGCCTTCAGAACTGCCTTATTTCTACATGGCATTGATTCAACAAGGTCTTTAGAAATGTTGGCTCATATTGATAGGATAGCATCTTGCAGTTGATGGAGATTTGTGGGATGCACATCCAGGGCACGAAGCTCCCGTTCCACCACATCCCAAAGATGCTCTATTGGGTTGAGATCTGGTGACTGTGGGGCCATTTTAGTACAGTCAACTCATTGTCATGTTCAAGACACCAATTTGAAAGGCATTATCCTGCTGGAAGTAGTCATCAGAGGATGGG